TGGATTCTGTGATATTTTATTTTCAATTATGCTAAATTTCATTTTCACTGGAAAAATAATGAATGATCCAGGTGGCTCATTCACTAGATACGTCTTCAGAATTTGTCCAAATCAGGAAGAATACAATTCTCATTGGAAAAGTCACTCTCAATGTAGAATTGAAATAATAGATTCCAATGTAATTGAAACGAGTACGCTGAAGACTCACCTGGAACGCTCACTTGGAAAAAAATTTACACAAAGCCAGACTGTCTCTATGGGCATGTCGAAGGATTTGTGGTAAAACTTGTGGTTTAGATCCCAAACAATTTCATTGGATTTATGTGATGATCGTCAGACCAATGATCACTTATGGTGCAATTGCCTGCTGGCCGAAGGCTTTATAGAAAACAGCCCAAGCGAAGCTCTCTGGCTTACAAAGACAGGCTTATCTGGCTATCAGTAGTACCATCAGTACCACACCGTCAGCGACCATGGATATCCTTCTAGATCTACCCCCTCTCAACATTTTTTTTGAAGATAGAGGCTAGATGGACTGCTTACAGACTTGTGCACATTGCCAATTGCATAAATCAATTTAATGCAGAGTACAACAGACTGTTGACACTGAAAGTCACAGCATTCTATGTCTTCCGACTTTATGCCTCCAACTGTCAACTACGAACTGCTTTATAAAGTACTATTCCCAAGTAGATACGACTGGATCCTCCGGGAGAAGGAAATATCAAGAGCAGATAGTTGTTGGTTCACAGATGGATCAAAAGCACCTTTCGGTTCTGGTGCAGGAGTTTTTAGTCGCAGACTCAGGATAGAGATATCTACCTGACAAGGAACTTATGCAACTGCATTTCAAGCGGAAATTTACGCTATTGAATTGTGTGCGGAGAGATTGGATATTGGTAGCTCTTGGCTTCTACCGGGCAACGTCTAAATTGGTAGCAAATTGCCAAGAATGACTCTCCTCGATAGGAAGACAACAGAATGTCTCTGGTCTGGATTGTTGGCCATACTGACCTGGAAGGCAATGAAGCTGCTGACTCTCTCGCAAATAAGGATGCGGCAAGCACCTTCATAGGACTAGAACCAGTCATTGGCATCGCCCTAGGCTCTGCCAAAAAAAAACATTGAACGCTTGGATAGCAAGAAGATTTGTGGTCTGCTCGCAGAATCTTCCAGGAACTACTGTCATTTGAATCATTATATGCACAGACTTGGACTGTCGAAAGACAGTGTGAGTCGCCTCTGTTTGGAAAATGATAAAACAGCAGAGCATATACTGGAGAGCGAATCAGGTTTTTAGAGTTCAGCAGAGCCGTACTCTTACCATCTAACCTGAAAGACCACTCACCATTTGGCCGAGTGTGAATAGGTATGTGCCACAATAAACCCTTGCGGGTTGCGGTGGAGGGTCGAATAGACCCACTCACTTTAGACCATACCTAAAGTAACAATGATGAAAAAAATCAAAGCGAGTTTTTTGTCTGTGTATTTTTGCACATTTCAGATGACTCATTATTGTCCTGATAATAAATGAAACCAGTAGCTTGTATGTCATTCAAATTGGAAATACTAGTTTCTGTTGAATAAACCGTAACATCAGTATTCTCAATTCTGTAGATATGATCACCACAATAAATCTGAACATTTCGTAACACTTCAAATATTAAAAATATAACTTCATTCTATCAAGAAATATCTTTTGTCCCTTATCTTATGCGGCAGAACTGACTTGTCAATGAATTCTTTGATGATATTTGTAGCGACAAACCTGTACTAGAATAAAAAATATGAACAGGTGTCTTGAAGGGCATGATAGAAATAAAGGTAATTGCATTGCCGACTCTTTGGCCAAGGAAGCGGCTGGACTTAAGAATTTTAGAACCAAGTGGCACCTACGGCTTGATGACTTCGACAATTCCGGAACCAGCCAAATGTTACACCCTAAAGAGATTGGACAGAATCAAAGGATGTAATTTTGCCAGAATCACCTTGGGCTACCCTGGGAAGCTGGCGCCGGAGAAATATCTGACGATGACCAGAAAAAATTTACGTTCAACAGTAGGATTTTTGACTAGCCACTGTCAACTAAGGAAACACCTGCATGATATGGGGCTGGTGGACACACCAGCAGGAAGATGAGACTGTCAGGCATGTTCTATGTGAGTGCCCGGAGTTATCGTCGATAAGAGAGTGTGTGTTCGCCGAGTCTTGGCCTACACCTGCCGATATAAAGCAGCTATCTTCCAGTGATCTGTTCCCCTTCCTGGAAAGGACAAGATGGACTTACGTGTTTCTCAATTTGGATGTACATGCTTTCAAATTTTTTTCTGATAAGAAATCTGCTGCTGATTGTTTTTAAAAGAAATAAACGAAATGATACGCGGTGGAATGAATATAAATTCCATAATGGAGTTCAGTAATTAGTTATTACCGATAATTATATAACAGTACGCAGGCAATCAGTGATTAAAACTGAACAAATATATCCAAATGCATTCAGGCAATGAAACACATTCATCCGAATATTCAGCAATAATTAACATGGTTTCAATAAAATGAAGAGATCAATTTGCTATCTCTCTCTCAAGGGAGAAGTTGTGAATTTGGCTTTCAAATTGTATCTGAATTAATATTTTAGATTCCAGGACATCGGCTACGGAGGCACATCTTAACCGGCCGCAGAATTACAATTCAATTCAATTCAAATTCATTTTCAATTCGATATAACAAGATACTACATAAACAAACATTATTATAACAGTTATCCTTTATTATCCCAAGGGTTCTCCTAAGCACTCGAGGTGCTTGTTTTGTGCATCCCCTTGGAATAATTTAGGATTTTCATTAGGTAAATAAAATGAATGGTAATTATATTAAACAAATACAGATATCAAAGGAAATATACATTCTATATAGTTAAATTATTGTAGGATATGATAAAATTCACACAATGAATAATTCTTCTTCCTTTGGGATCATTTTTTTAAAATTTTACCTTATTTTCTCTTCCTTGTTTCACCTTCTTTGATTTATGATTCATGATCTGGTTCATTTTTTTTCTCTAATCTTACATTTCACTCTTCGAAGCGGTTGATGTGGCAAGGATCCATGTATTTATTCATATTTATGTGGTTCGTTCATATAAACTTATATACATACACAAATTACACACGTACAGACATATATGGTTTTTTTTTAGTTAATATTAGCGGACATGCAACATATAATGAAGAAATGTGTCTTATTGATTCGATATTCTACAAGGTTGCCAAAATAACAGTGTAATCAACCCTGACAGACTTCCACGCCTACTGCTCTACTTAGAATTTTGTCTACTCGTATATTCCGGACTTGATACATGAATTGCAATTCTTTGAAGAACATTTCCAATATGAAAGCATTCTAACAATAAAATAACCCACAAATAACTAAATAACGGTTATGTACGTTTGTGAAATATTAAATTTTTTGGCCAAAGTCTGTCCCAATAACTATTTAGTTGGTAATGTTTTTTTCATCGGTGATTGACTCAATCGTTATGATCCAACATTTGTTTTGAGGTTATGCCGATAGAAATGCATCAGTAATAGTATTTGATGTTCGAAAAATTGATCATTTATTTTACTTGAACTTGTTCGAGAATCCATTTTTCCGTATTTAACTTTTTCTGCTATCTAGAAATTTCCAAGTACCACACTTCTTTCCGGAATTTGTATTTTTCAGTTTTCGTTTTACTATTTTATCTTGTTAGCGCAGAACCAGACCTTATTTCAATATAAAAATATTGAAATGACGACGAACTAATTCGAATATTCAATTTTTTCAGTTCACTCGGCAAATTCACTTCGATATTCCACTTCAAAATCTCGCAAACCGCTCCAGTTACTGTTCGGAATATTAAAATATGCGCAGACCCATTTCTCCGGTTCCGTAATTTTTTTGACAGTCTCGAAAACGAATGGGCAAAGTAAATAATGTAAATTCGAGATCATTTCCATGATTAACTTAACAAGCTTCTTTTGTAATCTCTTAATTAATCATTTTAATTCCAGAGTTGCCTGAATATCCTCCAACAATCAGCGTGGGAAGGGAGCCTCTAGACTACGGGGATACTTTGAGAGCCAACTGCTCGAGCTCCCCTTCTAGCCCCAAGGCCTTCTTGACGTTGCTGCTCAATAATTTAACGGTGGGTTTGGTTGTTATCTCAACAGATAACTGTGACTTATTTTTTGTTTTGTTTGATTTTATGATACAGTTTTATGCTGTTTGAAGGTGATTGACAATGTTTCATGATGAATTTCACTAGTTTGGACTTCCATTGTCTACTATATATATTGTTATTGTTATATAATTGTTATATAAATAACAATTATATCAAGCAAAATAAACCTGAAATGAAATAATAGTGTATTTTATTTCACAATTATTTCTCTCCTGGGATTGGCGGGATGAAATAATTGGGACTGGGAATGAAATAATAGTGTACTTTATTTCACCATTATTCATCATCAAAAAGAAGTTTGAAAGCTGTACTTCTTCACAATGGGAACCAATATGCTTCTGTGCCTGTTGGACACTCAGTCCATTTGAAAGAATGCTACAAAAATCTTGAATTTGTTCTTAATAAGCTCAGCTACTCTGATCATAAGTGGACCATTTGTGGAGACTTGAAAGTTATTTCAATGTTACTAGGTCAACAAAGTGGTTACACTAAGTTTCCATGTTTCCTATGTGAATGGGATAGCCGTGACAG